ACAATATTGGAGGAATCGCAGCACATTCAGTTGTAGAACATCATAAACGAGAGATTCAGTTGGGTCTCTCGTGAAAACCAAATTGCTGTACAGGTAAATTGAAAATCGGTAGATTAGTTTCTGGGCAACCTTCCGCCTGTGACACAAAAGCTTCGCCAGGTCAACTGATACAAGTTTAGACTTCAAGCCAGACGGGCAACTGATTAACGCTTACTCGCTGGTACAGACTATCAAAATCGGTGAGCTGTACTCAAGAGGAATGCTCAACTCAAATGGTGTGAACCATGAAGAGCCAGACCCTAAAACCCAAGCCAAAGTATTTGGATCTATCTCTCCCAGTTCCTCAGCGTATTCACCTATGGAAACTGAGGAAAAAACAATGATTGAGCATGCTGTCAATAAACTGTTGTTTTTATTGGTTCTGTGTCTGCGCTAAAATTCAACCCCCCTTTTGTAACCTTGTCATTTGATCTGAAGAAACACTACCTGACAGTAAATCTACCGACTGTTTTTCAAACTTCTCTGAAAAATAGGTTTTTGATTGGATCCGATCGTTTTCCCGTTGATTAAAGTCTCCGTCTTTTTGTTGAAATAGTCTCGTCTTGAATAAAAATCTCACGCGGTCATCTTGAGGTCCGAACTGTGGGCATTAGGTCAAGCAGTGCCAAACGTTGTATCAGACTGTGCTTTTCGACAAATGCATGGTCGTACATATTGATTCTAAGTTTTGCGTAACGACCGAACCCATACCACCCATGAATCACGGTCTGCTGGACCTCACAACTCAAAAACCCTGGCTGATGCTGGAATCTTTTGGACTGACTTTCGCTTAACTGGCGCCAGCATAAAATAAGTCGTACGTGTGCGTTCATTTGTTTGAGAAATAAGTGTGTATGAATGCATTAATTAACGATTTGGGACATTGGTTCGGCGCCCCAAGTATTCAGTCTGCCCCCTACATTCGCATCTTGTGTGTCCAAGGGAAGACGGAAACTGGTCAGACGCAAGTTATTGCCAGTGGTTTCGAACTACAAGCAAACAGACTGATGACCAAGCACAGTGAGTATCCTGTCCCTTTTGCGACTGGGTCAAAGGAAATTTATCATGTTCTATTTATTGTTCATTTGTTTGATCAACAGGGGTCGTCGATTGTCGATCGGATAACAACAGCTCGATAGATTCCATCCTATCCAAATGTGGTGATCTGTCAGGTCGCGCGGCCGTACCTCACTCAGCCACCTCTCCGTATATGATGCGGACTGATCCAAGTGATAACAAGACTACGTTCGTCCAACGTTCCGCTTCTCTGGCACGGCAGCGATTTGGGCCCGAGATCAAATCAACCGACACTCGAGAGGAGGGCTCGAGAGGCCAGCGTCGATCTCACTTTGTAACAGGTTCAATTCCATTGACTGGACCAGAGGCGAAGCCCGATTTCAGCCCATTAACACAGACAGTCTACAGAGAAAAGGGCATGTCTATGAAATCAAGCGGTGGTAGGAAGTTTTTGGTAAGTTCATGGGATTCGCCCTCTGCCATTAGCACACACACACACACATTAAGTCTGTGACACACTTCTTTATCAGTAATATTTTTCAAACACAACTTTCGTGATTTCACAGGCAATTGAGCATATTCTCCAATGTCAGAGTGAGAGAAAAACCAGGAGAAAGTCGGAAAGTGATTAAATACGTTGGCTGTTAATCAGATAGCAGTCGATCTCTTCGCCTAGCTTGGCAACTGGCTTCTAAGCGTTTCATAACCATGCAAGAATACATCGTCAGTGCGCGTCTGGGTGTCTACCCTGACAAGGTGACCAATCGTCAACCCAAAATGAATGTTTTTCTTGTCAGTGAGGTCATATTTGTTCATCTAGACGCTTTTTGATGTTCCGCTGTTTCGGAGTTTTTCGTGAACTGTACAGGCTTCCAGGTGGAGAAAACTCGTGTATCCGTTTTAAAATCAGTTATCCAATCAACGTCCGCGTGAACACATCTGGAATTTCTCTTCAAATCAGAACCTTGCATCAGGACAACTTTAGATTTTGTTTGTTAGTCGAGCTGGATGTGCTAACGAATTACCCGCCACTACCCCCAATCCGTTCTAAAAGAGCGCACTGATGATGTCATTTTGATTGGTGATGAAATAATGGTAGCCAAATTGCCCGGCTCAGCGAACAAACCAAAGACCAACATCCTTCTCAGTGGCAGATATTTCAACTTCTACCAAGGCATTGTAAGGTTCATCCCAGGATACTTTGAGTTCCGCACCGAATGGTTTTCCACACTAAACCGGAGCACCCTGGCATGGGAAGAAAACGATCCGATATTTTTCAAAGTGGGTACCAACCACTGTCATATTTACGTATGCATTTCTTCCTGGTCCTCTGCACCTTTCCAATCGCTGAGTTATTTCCAAAACGAGTGATATGACAACTGTTGTGGACCATGGTTTTCCTAATGCCTTCTTAATACCGTGAACCCCAGTCTGGATAGCCGCTCGATAGCCTGATGCGTTTCACCCAATCAGACAGCCAATGAACGTGCGAATCAGCTGATCTATTGAACACTGACGCGTACGACCTTGTCATGTGCAACTGAAAACGGGCTGTTTATGATGTTCAAGTGGACAGTTCTAGGCGGGCCAAAAATGGTACTAAAATAGAACTCATCTGTCAAGGGCAAGTAAAGAACAACCAATCAAATCTGTCTCAAAGAAAACGGTTATTCCATGTGTCTCATGTATCTATTTGAGTTCCAGCAACTGAGCAATATTCGGGGCCTTCTGCGATATGGATTATAGCTTGCAAGTAAAGTCAGTTTATGCAACTCAGTACCGTTTTACTCAAGTTGTTTTAGCGGGAAACGTGAGGCCACTTGCAGAAAGCAGAATCCTGGTAACCAGTAAGCGGATAATCATGAGACGATTGCGTCGAGAGTTGGTAATATGGTAGAACTAGACCAAAGAATTCATCCACACTGGCTCAAAGGATGCCCCGTTACAGAGCAAAGCACGGGTGGACTAAGAGCCTGTAGGGAGAATCTTACCCTCCGAGTAGCTAGGCCCTGAATCACAGAGACTTGTGCCAAGCATATGAGGATGAACATTTCTGAGTCCTTGGATGGCCCGAGATGTGGACAGGATAGTGATTCAGGAAAGAGATCCAAAGTTGATCTGACTTGCCGCCAAGAAAATCTCAGCGCGTTCGCTTTGCTTTTAACCTCAGTGCTGTTTAAGTCATCTCTGAAAGATTCGGCCTTCTTATCACACACACTGGGGACTTTGATTTGCGGTCGAAGCATAAACATACATTTTGATGACATCTGTTCACAAACCAATCGATGACTGGCAGCTAGCTGAGCGTAAGTCACTTGCTGACGAGATCACAAAGACAAACCTATCAATAATCGAATTTGGGACTTTCCCAAGGAAGGACTCTTCAAGAGGGGCGTTTGACTAAATCTTGATTGGCAAGAAGATCTGTTTGGGCCTCTCTTCAAAGCAGTCTGTCTTTGAGAGACCCCGCTTTCATAAGTGATGTAACTACATCACGAAAGCTGCTCTCTTTTTTGTTTCTACCTGTTTACCATATTATGGTTGACCCATGTGAACAAAAATACCGACTCCACTAATATCACGCTACTGACAAGCTCTGAAGATCTCCGAATAAACTGTAAACAAACTGAGATTCGTAAATCAGTAATTTAGTGTGAACGAGAAATTCAATCGAATTCCAAGTGAAACTTTCGTTTATCGTATTCCTCAACTAAAAATGCGCTGCATAAAGTATTTCAGTTGGTATGCTATTCCATATATCACTGTACATTTCCCCGAAGGGACACTACTCACAACGTCACTGCAAACTTCTCGACAGCTCACCACCATCTTCGTCCTTCTTGGGGCTCATCAAGTAGGTGAAGTTGCCGAGTTTCCCTCAACGTTATGTTCTAGCTGGACCCGAATTGGAAGCAATTCGTGAAGTACATTCACTTGCGCACCGGTCTGGTTCCAACAAGAGACTTATGCAAATTCCAGCTGAATCTCTCGTCTACGATATTCTTCAACTGAATGCCATGCATAAAGACTGTACAGTACGATATTCGAGATATCCCAGTACACTGTCTGGTCATATGGTTGCTGAGACCCTTTTGACAGTCCCCATTCGGTTTTGCCCTTCTTTGGGCTTAACAACTGGAAAACTTGCAAATGAGTGTTTTGCCGTATGCGTGCAATTCGGTGTTCAAGTAGAACATGACGTTGACGGAAACTTGGAGGTTACATCTAGCTGAAACCGATGGTGGGCTGTCGAAAGTCCCCATCAATCTTGGTGCTTGCTCAGGAGTTGGTCGCAGATTGTATGAAGATTAGTCTTGGACATCATGAACTGAATCGGCTGGTTTAGGCGGGCGCGTTGATTTCCAGTGTCTCTCGGATTATTTGTTCCTGTACAAATTCAGCCCAGAACTGTCAGGATACAGAAAAGGCGGTGTTTACTTAAAGATGACAACATGCTCCACTTAACTTTCTGCAATGTAACGAACGAACAGATTTTTACCAGAATTTTCCACCCCATTGGAGATGTACAGAGCCCAAATGCGAACCGAACGGTAGACTGCGACAAATCAACAGCACCAAAGCTTTGGAAAAGCAATGATTGATGTGTTTGCTTGATCATATTCGATTAGGTGGGGCATGTAGAAACAGCACGGTCACCTAGGTGCATTAGACCCCCCTCCTCACCTCCCACCCGTACAGACACATCTATCTATCATTTTGCCACAGCAACCGCACTCACTTGACTGTCGCGGACACACTTTCCTACGTGCGAACACGCACAGTAAACCGCCGTTTGTTTGTGTTGACTCACCTGGGCTGGAAAGCGAGCGATTCTGGCTGAGTGAGTCATCTGCTTTTCGGTGACATCAAATGCTCTCCCGCTCGTTTGACTCGGCTTGACTTCCCGTTTAGTCGTGTCTTGTTGAAACGACTTTTCGTGACATTGCGAGATCATTAAACTGAGACACTTCATTCCTCCTTGTTTACCTGGCTGGACGGTGAGGGTGACGAGCCTGAAAACTCCCAAGGCCACTAAGTAATTTTTCAGTTTCTTATCACTCTCGTTTTGAACAGTCGTCCTCCTGTCCTGGCGCAATTATTCATGTGAATCCACACCAAAGGGAAGCACTGGACTCGAGTTTCGCTCTTGTTAGAGCTCATCAGCAATGCATACGCAATGGCCGTGCCGGGATTTGAACTCCGGACACCTGACATGCGAGGCGAACGTGTTACCACTATTCCACCAGCGCACGTTGGACGCATCTGAATTCTCATGTCTGAACCGGTGAACGTGTTCTCACTTGAGCGATGTGTCAGGTGTCAGGTGTCCGGAGTTCAAACTCCGGCACGGCCATTGGATATGCACTGCTGATGAGCTCTAACAAGAGCGAAACTCGAGTCCAGTGCTTCCCCACCTTTGGTGTGGGTTCACATAAATAATAGCGCCAGGACAGGAGGACGACTGTTCAAAACGAGAGTGATGTGAAACTGAACAATACACCTCCCGCAAAACCCATCACATGCAGCACTAAATAATTATTGTTGTGTATATATGTGTTTTGTCTCCCGCCAAGGTGATCTACAAAACAGCACGTGTTTGTCATTTTACCGGTTGTACAAGGTTGCCGGGAAAACAAAGTAGCAAGGTCGTTCCTACGGACCATAGTATCTTCAGCCAAGTTATGTTTTGTGAACCACTGAACTACTGAAGAAAAAAGCACATATCTTTGTAATGTACTACTCATAAGGTTGCTGAAAAAAAGCACATGTTTAATCATCCATCACTTTGACGTCTGGAATTCCTCACGTTTTATCTGTCCCTACTGGTAATCCCTGCTCCACTTTTGTGTTTGGTGCGTGTGTATGAACTGACGTTTGTTTGTCTCTACAACTTGACTCACTTGACCTTGAGGTCATCCAGCCATCTTGTGGCCGATCCTATCCAGGTGTGACTGCCTTTTTGCTCATTTCGTTCGGACCGTTTGTTATGGACGATTTGTCTGTTGTCGAGAATTGTATATTTTGTGAATTAATGTCTTGCGTTAATGGTGCCATATGGAAATCCAGGTCTGACTTTGCTTTGCCTTTCCGGAGGTTCTGGTATCACGTGTTAAACACGTAAAGGTCACAAGTATCGAAGAGAGAGAGAGTAGACTGAGTGGGGGTGGAACGAAGAAGGTCTTCGCTGCGAAGTTATTTAGCGGACAGGAAGCAGAACTCCCATATGCATCTTGTTTACAAAGACTGAATATCCGCCTTCTTCTCGACCGCGTATTCCTGAACTTGACTATCACTCAGGTGTAAACGAATGCCACAAAACACTTCCACAAATTCCGTAATAAATCTCACTTTTCAATGGACCCGAAGCGGGTTTGCGGGAAAACCACATACTACTCGCGTGTTCCATCAGTAGTGTCCAACGTTACGAAGTGGCAAGGTGGAATGCAGATGTTG